CATGTGTGTCTGTGTGTCTTCATGTATGTCTGCATGTATGTGTGTGTGTCTGTGTGTGTGTCTGCATTATGTCTTCATGTATGTCTGCATGTGTGTCTGTGTGTGTGTGTCTGTGTGTGTGGTGCATGTGGAGGGAGTGCATGTGCCTATGTGTGTGCAGGATCCCCAGGCTAACATCAGAGTTCTTCGTTGGCTGTTCTCCCCCTTATACACTGAGGCAAGGACTTCCCCATCACTGTTTTAACTAGTCGGGCTAGCCAGCTTGCTCTAAACATTCTGACTCCTCTTCCCAAGCACTGGGATTACAGGTAGGGCCTCCCCACCCCACCTGGCTTTTGTGTGGATTCAGAGGCTCTGAATTCTAATCCTCATGATGACACAGCAAGTGATTTACCTGCTTAGCTATTTCCCCTGTAACTCTCTGATCCCTCTTCCTACCCAGCATTCCTGCAACAATAACTCTTTTCTTTAGGACAGAATCTCCTGTATCCTGGCTTGGCCTTGAACTAGATGTACAGCCAACGATGATCTAGAATTTTTGATTCTCTTGCCTTCACCAACCTCAAGCTGGGAATACAAGACATGCTCCGCCATACCCAGTTTATTCAGTACTACGGATAAAACCCAGGAGCTTCTTGGATGCTAGGCAAATGCTTTCCCACGTGAGTTACATCCTGGCTCCATATGTGACAACAGTAAAAAAAGACGTTTATGTGCCTGGACCTGAGCAAATGACTGCCCTTCCTAGGTTCCAGAGACTCTGAAATGGGGATGCTACAGGACTCACAGTGGCCAATAAAACTACTGTGCTGTGAGTTCCCTTCTCTCCAAGTATTACCACAAGCCTGGGACACAAGGTGTCATTGTTTCTGGGGGTGAAGGGAGAGTGATTCCCCTGACCACTCCTAGCTGTGAGACCTTAGGGACCACATTGCCAGATTTGGTAAATAAAAATACACAGAATATAGTAAAATTAACTTTCAGATAAGCAAAGAATAATTTTCAATTACAGGAACATCTAAGATACTACCTGAGCATGCCTATCCAAATAAATAATCGTGTGTGTGTGTGTATGTGTGTGTGCATGCACGCACATGTGTGTGTGCATGTGAGTGTGTGTGTGTGCATGTGTGTGTGAGTGTTCATGTGTGGGAGGGAGCATTATATCCATGTGCATGTGTATGACTGGGCATGTAGAAGCCAGAGGCTTACCTCAGGTGTCATTCCTCGGGAGCCAGTTGACCTCGTTATTTGAAAGAGGGTCTCTCAAAGGAAATCTAGAATCCACTTATTGAGCTAGACTTGCTGGCCAAGGAGTCTCTGGGACCCCTCCTAGCTCCTCTTCTCCAGTGTTGAGATTACATGCCTGGTGTTTTATGTGGGTATAACTCAGGTTCTCAAACTTACATGCCAGGCACTTTACATGAATGTGTCATGCCCCAGCCCCCAAAGAACTACCTTCTAAATATATTTAATAACTAGCTCTAAAATATATATATGTCTTCATATAATACTTGATAACTACTTAAAAAATCTTTGAAATCAAATTTAAACGAGTGTCCTGTATTTTAACTGGTAATTTGAATTCCAGGCTGGTTGTTCAGCCTTTTTATATTTTTCTCTCAAAGACAAAACAAAGGGACAAACAACAGAAGAATGAAAATGGATTGAGAAGGTCAAGGAGGGAGCCCTGGTGGGGTAAAAGTGCTTGTCACGTAAGCTTGCTAACCTGTGTTTGAATTCCACAAGGCAGGTAAAAGGGTGAGGCAGTTTTCCCAGCATTCCAAGAGTGAGATGAAGAACAGAGTCAGGAAAACCCCAAGAAGCCCACAAGGCAGCTAGCCTAGGACACACGCGCAGCAGCGAGCAAAAGAGACTGTCTCAAAAGCAAGATTCCAACCTCCACATGAGTACCATAGAATATGCACACCCTCATATGTGCGCCCACATGCATGCATGCATGTACTCGTGTGTGTGCATGAACGTGCACACAATCAAACACAGATAAATATTTTCAAAATTATTAAATGTGAGAATTCAAGGACTAGGAAGACGGCTGGGTGGTAAAGTTCACCTACCGCTCTTGCAGAGGTCCCGAGGATGGGTCCCAGAATTCACATCAGACAGCTCACGACTACTTACAACTCAAGTTCTAAGAGGATCTGACATTCATAAGTACTTTAACTACATATGCTCAGGCCTCT